CATCACCATCGTTATCATCGTTATTATCACCATTGTTATCATCACCACCATCATCGTTATCATCATCATCGCCATCACCATCGTTATCATCGTTATTATCACCATTGTTATCATCACCACCATCATCGTTATCATCATCATCGCCATCACCATCGTTATCATCGTTATTATCACCATTGTTATCATCACCACCATCATCGTTATCATCATCATCGCCATCACCATCGTCATCATCGTTATTATCACCATTGTTATCATCACCACCATCATCGTTATCATCATCACCGCCATCATCGCCATCATCGTTATCATCATCATCATTGCATTATATATTATCGTTATCCATTATCATTCCAGAGCATTCGGGGGGCCGCAGCCACCAATCAGGGTGGTAGGTCAGACAGCAGCAGGCGCTTCGCCTCATTGTCGACAGCACCAACGGGGACCAAATTTGATGTCAGATGACGACTTCAAAAAATTAAATGATGCCAAACGCCTTCTCCGGTGCCTACGATTAACCTCTACAAAGCCAAACCTTTTGGAGGGGGGATTTCCTAAAGCTTGTGCCAATTGTTAACCCGTCGGCTATTTAATGATCAGTCGCAAAATTTCATTATCAGAATCCAACTTCATTATCAGAATCCAACTTCATTATCAGAATCCAACTTCATTATCAGAATCCAACTTCATTATCAGCATCGACACGTGTACCGCAAAACGCGTTTTCGTAGCAGGGTGTGCGCCACTTACTATGCATTTTTCAGTATTGTGATTCCTGGAAAACGGGTAAAACGCGCCCACTTGCATCCATCGTCTGCAAAGTTCTTCCGTGGTGTTTTCGAAGAAGCCACAAATATCTGCCCCGATCTTAAAAGAAAAACCAGAACGCGTTGTTCGTACGGGAAATTGCACCTCCAATCTCTACCAAAAAAAACCCTCCAAGGACTGAGTTGCCGAGATTTTTTTTTTGATTTTTTTTTTTTTCCCAATTTCATCCCTTATTGCTCACCAGGGTAACAAGAGTCATTCGACACATTTCTACATAGAGTCTTCCAAATCTCTCTTTTAGATCTAAATTTACCGACTGTATTTTCCTCCGCTTGAACCCCAGAATTTCTGAAGTTCCCACGATGCTTTTTGTGCCAGAAGTATCCCGATAAATACAGATTTTTTTCTGTATTTTTCCATCTTTTTTTTTTTTCCCCTCCCTGCATCTGCAATTAATTTTGCAGCCCACCTTCTGCACACAGGGAGTTAGAATAATTCCCATACAGGTAGTACGGAAAATTAAACCGACTAAAGGCTAACGCTGCTCATCGGTCTCTTTCTCTTAAAAATTTATCGCCCTGTTTGGGGCTAAGATGAGTCCATTACCAAAGTAGTCCAAAAGTCACAGAAATTCAAATTCTGAGCTGGAAAGTGGGCATTTCATTAAGAAGTGGGTGTTCCCTACTGCATTTTAAAAGCCTCGCAGCAATCCCTAACGAATGACAAATAGCGGAGGCATCGGAGAGCCGCGAACGTAGAAAATAATATATTCGATAAGCATTTACACGCCTGTTCAATAAGCGATAGAGGGAAACGGACTAATGCTAAGATTCCTGGGGAAAAAAGTATTCAAACCAGCTTCCTAAAGGGATTAATTTATAGGGGGATTAAAATTTAGTGTGGGGGATTAATTTGCTGTAATACATGGTGAATTTATTATGCTCTATTTGAATTTATGTTCGTTTATACAACTTATTCATACGTAAGTAATTTTTCTATTTTTATATATACCTATTTATGAATCAATATTTGACTATTTTAAAAAAAAAAAATAAATCAGAGGGGCTTATACATATCAGGCTTGACGGGATCTCCCGGACACACGGTTGATTTGAAAAGGTCCCATAAATGACTGGTTTCATACATAAGGGATTCCAAAGAGGCCAAATTCCAGCATTCCCGGTATTGCCCATCTCATCTGCTCCCACGACGCCGTGTTATCTCCCAGCCAGTGTCCGGTGTACTTCCCTGAGCCCGCAAAAGTAGACCGCGAAAGAAGGAAGCTTCGTTTTCCGGGAAACAAAGTTTCGATGGCTCTGAAAGTAAAAAAGGTTGGAATTAGGCAAAAAAAAAAACCAAAAAAACCCCCAAAAAACACCAACCCAAAAAACCCAAAAAAAACCCCCAAAACAAACCCCAAAATTGTGGAGATGAGCAGATTTGTGTAAGGCAAGTTTCTATTCACTTTCATTTATTCATTCACAATGATAAATAAGCTAAGGGCACAGACTCCCTTAAGGTCAACCAGATGTCTATTAACAAAATTAATATATATATATATTCACCTTAAAGAATCTTTCTCTAAATTTCTGCCTGCCAACCTTCGTCATCTCTGAACTCCAAAATAATAAACCTGTCGTGGTTTGGGCCACTAAAACGCCCGACAGATGCCCACGTCTCCTTCCAGCTTCCTCCACCCACAGCGCCATCGCTGGAATCCAACACTTGGACTTCGAATTTTGAGTCGGAATTCAATTCCAATTTAAAAATGATAAAAATAAACGCGATTTCGAAAGCCCGGGTTCAGCCCATTGTGGGAAGACTGATATCGATCCCCGGAGTAGGTTCCCAGGGGAATGAAATTGCTCAGTTTCTCTAAATAAAGGGCTCTACTCTGTCCTTTTTCGCAAAGATATTACGAAGGATTCCTCACCGTTGTGTTGAGAGGGACATAGAGTATCCATAAAGGTTGTGAACGTCATACTGTTGCCCCCACTTCTGCACTGCATCCATACAGAGCGTCTTGGAATACATGAGTCTATCAACAATATCTGCAGGAAAAGGGTTCGGAAGTGCATTTGAATTGGTTTAATTAAATTATTTGTTGAAAAATTAAATTTAATCAATTTAATTATGGGGGGGTAAAAAAACCAAACAGTATTTCTCTTCTTTTCCTTCGTGCAAATCCATGAAATTCTGTCTGTTTTCTCAGCTTGGCTTTTTAGGTCTTCAAAATTCTCATCTCTCCCAGCGATTAATGTAGAAATAGCAAAATAAGTCCCCGACCGGCGCTAAAATGTGCGCAAATGCGGCTTTGCTGATAGGGTGGGATTTCGTAGCCCAACGCTACTTCAGGTTTTCAATTTAATAAGCGGAAATCCAGCTTCAAGATGGATTTAGCATGCGAGGAAGGACTCACCCCCAAAACTACACCCCAAATTTCTGAAAAATTTGACATGAGCATATCCCGGCAGTGATCAAATTTCCACCTCAATAAAGAATTTATACCTTTTGGCTGATAGGACAGTAATTCACAAAAAAAAATTTAGATTTTTTTTTTAATTTTTTTTTGCTCCACAGCTAAAAGACGACGGACTTACGGGGCGTGAAAGGAGGATAGTTTAAGTCGTTCTGCTCACAGCCGTGAATCGAGCCTGGAGTAAAGCTGGCTACTTCGTTCATATCCTGGCAAAAAATGGCAAATTCGGATTTTCAAATGGCAGCTATGACGTTTAGTCCTGACAGCGATACTTCCCGGGCTTTCAGCTAAATATAGGGTGGGTAACCCACTTGCAGCGAATACGACTTGAGGGCGCAAGGCGCATATAAGGAATAATATTCGTAAGCCGCTGAATTCCTCGTCCAGCAACCAGAACATTGATTTAGAAAATAATCAAAGAAAAAAAATATATTTCTGAATGTCAAAAAGATGATTTTAACTGGTGATGGTGGTATTCTACCCGAACCGGAGAAATTAAGTACTAAAAACTCTTCCCAAATCTCACAATATAAAAGAAAGATTATTCGTTCTGGCCGGAGAAAAATGACTTAACCGAGTTAAACCCCCAAAATCCTACAGAGGGTGGTCGTCTTTTCTCTAGAGGGGGAAAAATAATTCCTCCCTAAAATACGCCGTTCATTAAAATTAAAAGTTGGTGTAGTAATTATGATCCTGGTCGCAGTCGGTTCTTGGATAAATTAACTGATGTTAAATACACCTCTACGGAAAGAAGGACGGATCCAACGCGTCGGACAAAGGCAATCTCCGACGAAATCCCTCCGATGACAGAAAAAACAAGGATTCCACCCAAGGGCATTGAATGCTACAGAAAAGATGCGAATCCCACAGGGATTCCAGGTTATCCCTCCCTAAATCTTCCTTCGAATCAAGGCGGACTAAAACCCGAAGTGCCCGTTTTTCCGAAAATGGGGAAATGTCAGTAATGACGTACAATCCAGATCCCGTCGTAGGGCACTTGGTCGTAGAACAATTTGCATTCCTCCACCCACCAGTTGGTGCAGTCGGGGTTGGTGAAGTCGGGGAAGACGGTTCTTCCCGGCCACACCTACCATCAAAAGAAAAGGGAGATAATTAAATTACACCGTTGACGACTTTGCCCAAAGACTCAACTCCTCGGATTTCCTGCAGGTTTATGCGAACTGCCCGTCTCGGAGAGCAATATTTGGGGATAAAACCTCGGGATTATTAGTTTTGCAAGTCAGCGTTGACGTAGCGACTGGGAGAAGCGTTTTGAGTTGTAAACGGCGAGAGTGAATTATCATTATCAATATTAATTATCTTTCTCAGTATTATCTATCTTTCTCAGTATTATCTATCTTTCTCAGTATTATCTTTCTCAGTATTTCTTCTAAATTTTATATATATTATTATTAACTGACACGAACTCTCATTATTAATTAGCATTAAAAGCATTTTTCTTAAATTTACACTCCGAAAGAAGGCAGAAAGTGGCTTCGTTCACTTCCCCGAAGTCGCTTTTGAAGTCAAAACTACTTTGAAGTCACACAAGTTTCGCGACAAGCGGCTGCGTTTGCAAACCCGTTACATAAAGAACTTTTCCAAGCGGTCAAGGAGGAATTGCTCTCCGATAACTACTGCAAATAAACTGCCGGTGCCTCCCAACCCTTCAAAATCGCTCGTTTTCCCCTTCGAAAAATCAAAATGTGAAGAAAAGGGATTAAAACCGGGAAACGGTGGAAAATATTGAGAGTAGCAGAAAAACGGAAGGTTGCCCCGACCCAAACTAAACGGGATTTGGGCTCTGACTGCGTAAGGGCTTTATTACCTCTCCAACTAAGGGCGTCACTCCGTCCGACTCGTTCACCCAGATTTTCTTGCTTTGTCCCCTCTCGTAGGCTGGGTAGGGAGAACCGTCCACCAGAGCCTCGGTGCTAATGGCGGCATCCTAAAAAAGTGGAAAACGACGCTAAAGAAACCAATCCTCTCCAGCTGTTGTTGGTTGTCTCCACCGATTATCTACACCCGGCAGCTATGTGGGGAGATGTCTCACGTAACAACACAGAGAGTAAAAATTTATATATATATATACAGATCTAAAAAGTAAAACAAAATAAAAAAAACCCCCGCAAAATAAAAAAAAAAGCAAAATAAAAAAAACCGCAAAATAACCCCCCCCAGCAAAATAAAAAAACCCCGCAAAATAAAAACCACAATTAAAAAAACCCCAGAAAATAAAAACCCCCAGAAAATAAAACAAACCCACAAAACCCCCAAAAACCC